CACAGACACAAACACGTCTCAGATTTCAAAGACACACATTCGAGGGCACACATGGAAAAATGTTTGATATTCATGTGACGTCAGATGGGTAGAGGTTCCTCTGAATTTTGTCATCAAAATAGTCGGGAAATAGACAGATAGACAGATGGATAGATAGATAGATAGGTAGGTAGGTAGATAGATAGGTAGGTAGGTAGGTAGGTAGGTAAGTAGGTAGGTAGGTAGGTAGGTAGGTAGATAGATAGACAGACAGACAGACAGACAGACAGACAGATAGATAGATAGATTAGATAGGTAGGTAGGTAGGGAGGTAGGTAGGTAGATAGATAGACAGACAGACAGACAGACAGACAGACAGATAGATAGATAGATAGATAGATAGACAGACAGACAGACAGACAGACAGATAGATAGATAGATAGATAGATAGATAGATAGGTCGGTAGGTAGGTAGATAGGTAGGTAGGTAGGTAGGTAGGTAGATAGATAGACAGACAGACAGACAGACAGACAGACAGACCGATAGACCGATAGACAGATAGATAGATAGACAGATAGTTTGTTAGCCAAAAATTAAAGGTAGATTGGCAGTTTAACCAATTTGTTTTTCTTGAACATGAGATTAAATTTCATTTGTGGCCCATTTATCGTGACAGGTTTTGAGATACATCGACTTGTTCATTATCTTTGTAGCCCATGTGTGTGCTAGCGTTTTCGTGTTTCCCTTTGTTCGCATGTTTCCTTACCTGTACAAGGTCTCCAGCTGTGGCTGCGGACGAACGTCAGCACACAGGAAAGAAACAGAGAGTGACACATAAACATCACGGCTGATGACCGTAAAGAGCCGAGATGGAACTTGTCCACACTGGACCGAGTCTGGAGCGGCTGCTGTTTTTCTGCCGGTGTGAGGAGAAAGATCATCATCCAAGGTGGAATAAGCAGTAATGATCAGACAAACGTGTACTTGACTTCCGCTTTTGTCTATTGGTTTAGTTTAAATGTATTACTAACTGATTTAAAGCCAGGTAATAGACGAGACCAGGGGTCATCAACGTGGTACGCGGGGTATGTTCTAAAAATAAACCTAGTCAACAAGAGGGTCAAGGAGATTGGGGCCATGGAACTATTGTTTAAGTCCCAGAACTGATTATTATTACATTGTTCAGGAAGTCTGTTTCAAACAAGTAGCTCTTTGTATTACTAAGTATTCTTAAAGTACAGTAGCTTACTTAGTTTCAAAAAGATTGGAGACCCCTGGAGTAGACATAACTGATGTCAACACCCATCGCTCTACCCCAGACATGGGTAAACTACGGCCCCGGGGACCAGATGCTGTCCATTTGGCATCCCAAATGCATGACTTTTACATGTCATGTATCTGCTCCTGACCCAGCCCCTCTGTCAAATTTTAGGACTTTTTGTGTCAAAGAGTCAAAAAGTTTGCCCCAACTGCTCTACCTATAGCGTCAAGTCTGAATCCAAATCGGTCGCTCTACCTATAGCGTCAAATAGCGTCAAGTCTGAATCCAAATCGGTTCAAAACAATTTCAAATGAGTCTGAATTGCACGAATAATTCGCATCCACCTTTTGCTGCTTCAGTCCAGAACTTGTAAACAGAATTACAACAGGAGCCACATTTTATTTTTCCAAACCTTAGCTCAAAGGTTAATCCATTCTGCAAAGACTGGCCCACACCTGGTCCTTCAAGACAAGATCTTCAAGTCATCTCACGATCTTCATCTTCCTCTGTGAGTAATCTATGAGTAATATCTATCTTAAAAAAAAAAAAAAAAATCAAATATATAATCTCAAACCAATGCAAAACCAATGAATTATCTCCAGGAATCCCAGACTGTCCTCCTCCTGGTCTTTACATCCTTCGTGAGAACTTCTTCACGAACTTCTTCCTCACATCAGAAGCGTCCACCCGGAGGGACATGTCGTCTTGCCGTCCGAACCTTCAACTCCGACTATATTTTCTTTAAACTGTCGTTGACTCTGCTCCTCCAACTATGAAGATCTTCAGAAGAACGCTGACCATTCCACCTGATCTTGCCTTACTCTGTCCTTCACTCATCCTTAAAGACAGAGGATTCTTCTCAAGGTCTATTGTTAAAACACCTCCCCCTGCTGTTTCAGGGGTGTAAAAATTTTGACTTATTTTTTTTAATTTTTCTCTCTTTTCTTTTCTCTAATGTCTACAACAGAGAGTCATTTTCCTTCGTGTGACAGCGAGAGAAGTGAGAAGTAGAGAGAGAGAGAGAGAGAGAGAGTTTTTTTTTACCTGCCCCTCTCGCCCAACATTTAAATATAAAAGACAGGGAGGAGCAGGAGGGAGAGAGAGGGAAGGAGAAAGAAAGACAGTGAGAGAGAGAGAGAGAGACAGAGAGAGAGAGAGGGGAGGAGGAAAACTGCTTCTTAAAGCGATACTGTGATATACGAAGTATAATGTACACACATGTACACACGAAGCACCAGCTCCTCTCATTGAAGCCGTTCTTAATCATCACATGGAGTGAAACGGCAGGTTGTTAAACCAGATCATAGAAAACGTGGAGCATCTTTGGTCTTTTTTTTTTCCACTCTGAACAGGCTGCGATGGATGTGGTGAGGTGCACAGGTGTGGGATAAACACCGTGTCGGCACTGAAACCTTTTTTCAAGGGTGTCTCTTGATGTCTGATTTTGCAAGATAAAACAACAGAGATGAGGTGAGATAAAGAGGACGAGGAGAAGAAGAAGAAGAAGAAGAAGGAGCGACTGATCCTGAAATCTTCTCTGAAGATCAGACCAGAGGAATTCCCCAGCTGGAGCTGAGCTCCAACCACTTATGCCTGTCTGACTCCACCCTCCTCGTGACATCACAGAGCGTCTACCTGATACAGGTAGACACGTGTGGGGACAAATACTGTTTTTGTGGGGACACAAAGAGTGATGGTGAGTATATTTTGAGGTAGTCAATATATTTTTTTTTTTCTGGAGATCAGGATTAGACATACTGTACGTACATATCTATGGTAGTTAAGGTTATACTCAGAGGCTCCAGGACGTTTCATGTCTGTGTGAAGTACTCGTAAAAAAAAAAAAAAAACAAAACACAAAAAAACAAGCGTATGGTTCTTGGAGTGTGATCAGGCTCAGCCTTAAAAGCAGCTGATGTTGAGATTAACCTGCGACAGAAACAAAAGAAACACCCAAGCTGGAGATAAGATCACACAGCCCGGTGTGTGTGTGTGTCAAAGACTAGGAAACCACAACATAATGCCTCTTCACCTGGACACTCCCTGGAGTACAGGAGTAAGCAAACACGTCTGCCCTGCACCAAATTCCAGCCAGAAAATCAGTGATTTAAGCTTACGGGGATATAGCAGTTGTTATTCCGCGGCGAGTCCAAATGTTCTACAGCAGGGGTCACCGACCTTTTTGAAACTGAGAGGTACTTCAAGGGTACTTGGTGATACTAAGAGCTACTTGTTTGATACTAGACTTTCTGAACAATGTAGTAATAATCATCGTCTGAACCCATTTGAACATCACTGCAAGTGGAACTGATTCCAAAAGCACAGTAACAGTACAATTTTTGGACCCTGTTGTTGACTAGTTTTATTTCTAGAACATACCCCACGGGCACCTTAGGTAGTCCATGGGGGCTACCAGGTGACCCCGGGGCACCACGTTGGTCTATATTCACAGTTATTTTCACCGTAATTTGTCATTCAGATAAACCTCCGTTACACAAACTGACCACAGGACAGGCTGTACAGTAACAGTAACCCACTGTCCCCCCCTCCCAAAAAAACAAACATAGTTTCTCCTTGGACTTTGATGTGGGGGGGGGGTGTGTTCTTTGCCAACTTCAGTTTCCAGTTAAAAAAGGGTCAGTGTAAATACTGAGTGTGTCTGTCATCCAGCAGCAGTTAAGTCTCGAACCATTGTTGTGTCCACAGCGCTCTCTCGACACACACACACACACACCAACACACTGGTCTTTCATGAGTAACATGTTCAGACAGATCACACATCCACACACTTAACTCTGAGCTGAACACACACTCTCTTACAACTTTGGAGGACACACCCACGTCTGACTACACTTCCCATGATCCTTCTGATTTTTTTTTTTTTTTGCAGATGGTAACCAAGATAAATTTACTTTAAACTGGAATTAAAAATGTTCAATCGACTCAAATTTCTCTTCTCTCCTACTTTACTTTTCTCTCCAATGCGTATTATCAATAAATCACTCAAACAACCATTTCCTTTGTTTCGTCTCGTCTACCGAACAGCTCAATTTATTTTGACATAATACAGTAAAAATCAAAAACACTGCCAAAATAGCGAAGCAAAACACAAACCGTCCAATAAGTACACTTCGTGAATTTTCCCAATGTGGAACGAATAATGTGTGAAAATATACGGAAATTAAATCGAGAATCACTGATATAAGGGAAGTATTGCATTGTGATGAAAGGCTAAAATGATAAAATAATGCTAATATACATATATATACACATATATACATACACATATATATATACATATATACATATATATACATACATATACATATATACATATATATACATA